GGTCCCTCCCGCCCCGCTGCAGCTCGGCCCCAGCCCCGGCTGCTGCAGCGGCAGCAGGATGGGCCCAGGGATGTGCTGGGGAGCCCCGAGGGTGTGTGGCCGGGCCGGTAGCGCTGCCAGGGGGGAGCTGTGCCACTGGGGCACTGACGGCATCTGTGTTCCCAGGCATCGCCAGCAAGTACCTGAGAAAGGGGCAGGAGGAGGACGAGCTCATCACAGAGGTCATCACTGACAGTGAGTGCGGGCAGTGGGCTGTCAGCAGGGGCTGGCAGGAGGACCACAGAGCCTGGGCAGGGAATTGCAATCCTGCCCCAACTGTGCCGGGCTCTGCTCCCTGCATGGACAGAGCAGAGAGAGATTCCAGGGGCACAGGGGGGATTGGTGGCCAGAACCTTCTGGCTGATTCCATTGGGCCCTGCTCCCTCCTGGCCACAGCAAGAGCTGGGTGGGATGGCCCTGCCAGGAGGGGCTCCTCGGGTCCCTGCAGATGCTGGCTCTGATCTTGGCTCCGGTCTTTTCTCTTCTAGCCCTTCAAGACATGACTGCTGACAGCCCTGCCATCTCAAGGCTGGCAGCTGAAACCTTGAAAATCATCAAGGGTGTCCAGAAATCTAAACCTTAACTGACACCGAAATCTAAATCCACCAGATTCCAGTAGCCTCCATTCCTCTCTGTTCCAGCCCTGAGAGGAATGACCGATGACCTCAGACTCGCCATCACAGGCCTGGCCATCCCAAACTGTACATGCTAAGAGCTGCACAAACAGCTCCCTGCTCCAGACTCCAGCAGCTCCAAGACTGGCTCTGGAGAGGAAAATGCCTCTTTTCTGCAAAGATGGCCATTTACACCAGCACGGGAATATCAAATACATCTAGACATCTTATGAAACACAGAGGCCCAGCAAGTTTTTTTTAGTCCCTGGTGTCCATGGAGGGGAAGAGGGGAAAAGGACCCTTGTGCTCAGCAACCCTTGCCCAAAGGTGCAGTGGGGAAGGGGAAAGTGCCCAAAAGGCCCTTGGCCTTGGAGGGTTCTGCTGGAGCCTCAACACTTGCAGCAGAGCAGATGGGCAGAGC